CAGGTGCCATTAGCGTATTGTTTGTGGTGCCAATAGCGTGTTGTTTGTGCCAATAGCGTGTTGCTCAGGTGCCATAGCGTGTTGTTTGTGGTGCCAATAGTGTGTTGGTGTAGTTTGTGCAGGTGCCACAGCGTATTGTTTGTGGTGCTAATAGCGTATTGTTTGTGGTGCCAATAGTGTTGTTTGTGGTGCTAATAGCGTGTTGTTTGTAGTGCCAATAGTGTGTTGTGTGGGCCAATAGTGTGTTGGTTTGTAGCTAATAGTGTGTTGTTTGTGGTGCTAATAGCGTATTGTTTGTGGTGCCATACGTGAATAGTTTGTCGTGCTAATAGTGTGTTGTTTGTGGTGCCATAGTGTGTTGTTTGTGGTGCTAATAGTGTGTTGTTTGTGGTGCCAATAGCTGTGTCAGGTGCCAAGTCTGCCGCCAAGCGCGTTGTTTGTGGTGCTAATAGTGTTGTTTGTGACATAGTGTGTTGTTTGTGGTGCTAATAGTTTGTTTGTGGTGCGTACGTGTTGTTTGTGGTGCTATTAGTGTGTTGTTTGTGGTGCTAATAGTGTGTTGTTTGTGGTGCTAATAGTGTGTTGTTTGTGGTGCTAATAGTGTGTTGTGTTTGTGTGTGCCAAGGTGCTAATAGTGTGTGTTGTGGTGCCATAGTGTGTTGTTTGTGGTGCTAATAGGTGTTGTTTTGTGGTGCCAATAGTGTGTTGTTTGTGGTGCTAATAGCTTTTGGTGCCAATAGGTTGTGTGGTGCCAATAGTGTGTTGTTTGTGGTGCCAATAGTGTGTTGTTTGTGGTGCTAATAAGTGTTGTTGTGAATTTGTTGTTGTGCCAATAGTGTGTTGGTTTGTGGTGCTAATAGGTTGTCGGAGTGCAATAGTGTGTTGTGTAGTGCCATTAGTGTGTTGTTTGTAGTGCCAATAGCGTGTTGTTTGTGGTGCTAATAGTGTGTGTTTGTGGTGCTATGTAAGTGTTTGTAGTCAGTGTGTTTGTGGTCAATAGTGTTGTTTGTGGTGCCAATAGTGTTTGTTGCAGGTGCCAATAGCGATTGTTTGTGGTGCTAATAGTGTGTTGTTTGTGGTGCTAATAGTGCGTTGTTTGTAGTGCTAATAGTGTGTTGTTTGTGGTGCCAATAGTGTGTTGTTTGTGGTGCTAATAGTGTGTTGTTTGTGGCAATAGCGTGTTTCAGGTGCCAAAGGTGCTTGTGGTGCCAATAGCGTGTTGCCCGGTGCCATAGCGTGTTGCTTTGGTGCCAATGTGTTGTTTGTGGTGCCAATAGTGTGTTGTTTGCAGCCAATAGTGTTGTTTGTGGTGCCAATAGTGCGTTGTTTGTGGTGCCATAGCGTGTTGTTTGTGGTGCTAATAGTGTGTTGTTTGTGGTGCCAATAGTGTGTTGTTTGTGGTGCCAATAGTGTGTTGTTTGTGCGCAGTCACAGTGTGTTGTTTGTGGTGCTAATAGTTATTGTTTGTGGTGCCAATAGTGTGTTGTTTGAGCTAATAGTGTGTTGTTTGTGGTGCTATGCGTGTTGTTTTGGTGCAATAGTGTGTTGTTCAGGTGCTAATAGTGTGTTGTTTGTGGTGCTAATAGCGTGTTGTTTGTGGTGCCAATAGTGTGTTGTAGTGCCATTAGTGTGTTGTTTGTGGTGCCAATAGTGTGTTGTTTGTGGTGCTAATAGCGTGTTGTTTGTGTTAGTTGGTGCTAATAGTGTGTTGTTTGTGGTGCATAGTTTGTGGTGCTAATAGTGTGTTGTGGGCTAATAGTGTGTTGCCAGTGCTAATAGTGTGTTGTTTGGTACAGTGTGTTGTTTGTGGTGCCAATAGTGTTGTTTGTGGTGCTAATAGTGTGTGTTTGCTACGTTGTTTCGGTGCTAATAGCGTTTGTTTGTAACGGTTGTTTGTGGTGCTAATAGTGTGTTGTTTGTGGTGCTGGCTATGCGTTGTTTGTGGTGCCAATAGTGTGTTGTTTTGTGGTGCTAATAGTGTGTTGTTTGTGGTGCTAATAGTGTGTTGTTTGTGGTGCTAATAGTGTGTTGTTTGGTGCTAATATGTGTTGTTTGTGGTGCCAGTGTTGTTTGTGGTGCCATAGTGTGTTGTTTGTGGTGCTAATAGTTTGTTTGTTTGTGGTGCAATAGTGTGTTGCTTATGGTGCCAATAGTGTGTTGTCGCAGGTGCTAATAGTGTGTTGTTTGTGGTGCATATGCGTTGTTTGCGTAATAGTTGTTGCTCAGTGCCAGTGTGTTGTTGTGGTGCAATAGTGTGTTGTTTGTGGTGCCATATGGTTAATAGCTGTTGTTTGCGGTGCCAAGTTTGTTGTTTGTGGTGCCATAGTGTGTTGTCGTGGTGCCAGTGTTGTCGTAAAGCATAGTGTGTTGTTTGTGGTGCTAATAGTGTGTTGTTTGTGCTAGTGTGTTGTTTGTGGTGCCACAGTGTGTTGTTTGTGGTGCCAATAGCGTGTTGTTTGTGGTGCTAATAGCGTGTTGTTTGTTAATAGTTGTTGTTTTGGTGCCAATAGTGTGTTGCTTGCGGTGCCATAGTGTGTTGTTTGTGGTGCTAATAGTGTGTTGTTTGTAGCATAGTGTGTTGTTTGTGGTGCCAATAGTGTGTTGCTCAGGTGCCAATAGTGTGTTGTTTGTGGTGCCAATAGTGTTGTTT